AGGTGGTCCAAGCCGGTACTAGTAAGGTGTACCTAATAAAGTGGCCGGTAAGTATGTGAACTGCAGTAGCTGCTGACTTAAGCAATTTGCATATATAAAGACACAGTCACACTGCACTTTTTGCCCCACAGACTTCCAATCATAAGCATGCAAATGGATACGCCAGCTCGTATGACAAGTTTTGCATGTTTTCCAAAGTTCAAGCTTGGGAAAGTCGGACCTGCAATATCCCTTCACGTGATTGTGTGAGGTCGATATAAAGATAAAAAAAATGTACAGAATTTTTAAATATAAAGCAGTCACTTGGTTTAATGATGTCGAGTCATCTTGTTTTCTACTCCTTTTCACAGCACCGTATAACACAATGTTTCTCAACCATGTTACTGGAGGATCACCAGCTCTGCACATTTTCCATGTCTCCTTAAACAAACACAGCTGATTCAGATCATCAGCTCATGAGCAGAGACTGAAAGACCTGTACAGGGTGTAAAAGACAAAGGAGACGTCCAAAACATGCAGTGTTGGTGGTCCTCCGGGGATGTGGTTGAGAAACACTGGTGTAACAGAATTTCAAATACTCAAACTCTAGTGTGACCACAGCTTTAGGAGTGATTAACCAGGATGATGACAGTTTAGAGACTGTCATGCAGAGCTGGACGATATTAACAGGTCATTAAGTCTTATTACATGGCTCTCTGGAATACTTAATGCTGATTGGTCAATCAGGACATTCCAAGGGATTTTAATCCCAGATAACAACTGCTGAAACTAATAAGACAACCTCCTTCGAGTACTTTAGCTCATATTATATATATTTAGCTTATTGTATCTCACACCACTGTTCTTGACTGTTGGCATCATCTTGCAACTGAATATTAAGCACTTTAGATCAGTGCAGGCTGCATTTGGACATTTTTTGCTTCTGTCAGCTTTGTTTAATTAAAAGGTTTATAAATTATTACAACTCAGATTTTTTCGTCTAAGTGTTTAGCTTTGTGGCAAGCAGCCAAGTAATAACTGTGATAATGTACATCTAGGTGTTTTTTTAGCAGAATGATTGCCTTTAGTCTGATCAGCATGCAGGGCTTTATTATCCAAGAACAACCACCTAGATGTAGATGATGCTTTACTTCATATATAGTGAAGATCATAATGAAAGAACTACCCTTTCCTAAATGTCAAGGTCACTCATTAGTTCTGTTTGAAGTTATCTCAACAGATTACATTACATTCATGTGATTGATAACATAACCAGCATACATTATAATGCTCCTGCCCTAAATTGTGTGTGAAATGTTGTTTTGTTTTCAACACAAATGTCACATTCCTGCTGAAGTGATGAATTGCATTACTAATGAATGTTTTCTTATCAAATGGTAACAGATGATTTATTCCAGTATGGCCTGAGATTTAAAAAAAACTATTTCTGTACATGCAAAAACATCCCTACTGTCACAGTCATCAACGAGACTATTGCGATTAGTAATCGAGTCCCGACATTTAGAAAGAGGAACTGACATGAAGATCAAGCAAATGGGAACCAAAGTGAGGAAAGGCCAAAATGTGGCATTAAACGTAGAGTTATGAACTGCATCAAAATGCCACATCAGATCACTATTGTTTCCTGGTAACCGACACGTTCTGTTTTGGTGGCAGAGCCTCATGGGTGGCGGCGGTAAAAGTCAGGTCCCCTAGCAGCTTTCTGAGAGCCGCTTTAGAGGAGCTGGGTTTATTAACTGTGCGCTGAATACAGACAGCAGTCTCAGAGGCTCAATCGAGGGATTGTGAATCAGAGCAGGGCTTTTCAAATAGCATCTCCAAATATTCTGATACGCTATGTGGAAATAATCACTTCTTAAATACTGTAGATTGTGGCATCTAGACAGATTGTTTCACTTCATGAAATGCCAGAAGCCAATTAATTTAGCTGTGCCTGTGTATGTATGTATTTGTGTGTTTGTGCATATGTTCTACTGAAGTAAATCTGAAAGTCATGGGCTGTTTCTTAATATGCATTCTTCAGTGTTCTTGCGTCCTCGTGTTCTCGTATATCTCGTATATCATCAACTGCCAAAGTTCAGATCCGAAACTCAAGACCGCAAGAGCAGAGGACGCGTGACAGTTCCCAGATGTGTTCTTGGTATTGAGGATGCACCGATGCAGACTTTAGCACTAAACTCGCTCTAGAAGTCACTGCGGCAGAATAAAGGAGGTGGGAAGCGCAGCATTTAATATAGATTTAATATTAAAGTTCAGAAATATAACTTATTCACATCAGGAGTTTTCCTAAATGAGACAGTGAAAGTAAACATCGCCTTGAAAATCTTAATAAAGATATAAACACAATATGGGTGTTTATTTGCAGAAGTTTATATTAAAATCTGATTTTTTTGTATAAAGTAGGGCTTTTGTGCATCTTATATATACTGGAAAGAGAAAAAAACAATAAATCTTGTATGAATCCTGTTTAAATCATTTTCAGTTAAAAATGCATGAAGGTCATGTGACCATCAGGAAAAATGCAGCATCCCATTTTTCAAAGGACACATTCTGTGTTCTTGCGGTCTCCTTAGTTTATTCTTCCGAGGTAATTTGGCAAGACCAGTCTTCTAAAGAACGCAAGTCCGTTCACTGTGTTCTTCAAATTGAGAAACAGCCATCATCTACATCTTCCCTCCGGTAGATTTCAGTTCCAACCCATATCAAACACACCTGTCAGTAATTAACAAGTGCTGTTGAGGTCTTAATTAACTGGTTCAGGTGTGTTTGATCAGGGTTGGAGCTAAACTCTGTAGGAAGGGAGATCTCCAGGAACACGGTTGATCACCCCTCATCTTTATATTTGATGGCCTGAGGCACCATATAACAATTAAAGGGATAGTTCATCGACAACTGAAAGTCCTGTCATCATTTACTCACCCTTCACTCCTCACAAACCTGTTTGAATTTCTATCTTCTGTTCTGTTGAACACAAAAGAAGGTAGTCTAAATAAAGCTGGAAACCTGAAATCATTGACTGATATGGTATTTGTTTTCCTTACTTTTTGTCAACAGTTACCAGGTTTCAGCTTTGTTCAGAATATTGTGTTCACCAGAACAAAGAAACCTATACATTTTTGGAACCACTTGAATGTAAGTAAACTGAGAATATTGAGATTTTTTTTTGGTCAAACTGTCCCTTTAACAGCAAATTTTCATTTCTGGCAAACCGTCAGATTTATAATAAGAAGGGATGTGCAGCATTTATGATGCATCTTTTTCAAATATGCATTTTATATGCAGTATTTATGATATGTTTTTCAAATATACATTTTAAACACAAGGGGCTGCATGGTGGGGCAATGGGTAGCAGGATCGCACAGCAAGAAGGTTGCTGTTTCAAGCCTCGGCTGGATCAGTTGGCATTTTTGTGTGGAGTTTACATGTTCTCCCTACTGTATGTTTGCATGGATTTCCTCCGGGTGCTCCAGTTTCCCCCAAAGTCCAGACATGTGGTATAGGTGCATTGGGTAGACTAAATTGTCCGTAGTATATGTGTGTGAATGAGTGTGTATGGATGTTCCCCTGTGTTTGGGTTTCATTCCGCTGTGGCGACCCCAGATTAATAAAGGGACTAAGCTGAAAAGAAAATGAATGAATTTTAAATAGAAAATAGTATTTTGTCATTTGTATTTGATACAGTTGATGGAAATGGCTTCATATGTGGTATCAAAATACTTTAGTGTCTTGTATTGTTGTATTTTTAAAATACTTTGTGAGAACTCTACATGATGGCATCATTTAAATGCACCCTCTGACTGGTGCTTTGGACATGATTAACCCTTCACTTAAAGAATAACCAAAAAATAAATAAATAAATAAAATATGTGGAGAAAGAGTATACTGTATAATAATAGTAGTGTAAGATGAATTACTAATGCCAAATGTTTGTCTTTAAAACAAACTAAGTCCATAAAACAAATCCTACACTACTTCATTGACTGTTTTAAATGCCAGTGATTGATATAAATTAAATGAAGATGTATGCCTAAAGATGTCAAAGTGGCACAGCATATAAAACACATTTCATAATCTCTTAAAACCTGACATGTTATAGCAGGATATATTGCAAAAAATAGATCAGTTCTTTGAAGTTTTCAGAAATCATCAGTGTTGAAGAGGCAGTTAAATGGTAAAGGGACTGATGTTGTGCTCCTTTATAAAATTATTTTGTAGGGTTTTTTTAAATTCAAAAATACAGTATTTTATTTAATACATTTTGCGACTGCTACTGTATTTTGTAGTTTGTTTTGATACAATTAAACCTAAAGTATTTGGTATTTTATTTCAAAATACATTTCAATGTATTTTTGCCCAACCCTAATATAAAAATGGATCAAGTGGACTTTCATTGAATGAACAATATAATAATTTCAATTATGTGTTGCTCAAAAAGTTAGATCAAATACACACATACTGTAAGTGGGACGAGGACAAGTAAAAACCGAAGCATATTTTGAGGCGTGCCCGTGGACCCCAAAAATGCCATCTGGCAAACCTTTATATTGGATAAGTTCTTGCGTTTAAAATCAGCTAGACCCGCATACAGTGTCGGAACTGAACGCTTGAGTCTCAAGACCCAAGTTTAAGTACTTTAAAATGCCATGCTTATGGCGCGCGAGAGGCGACGCGAAGATTACAGACAAAAACGAAAACAGAACGAGCCCTCTGAATGTACCCCAAGTAGACAGCTAACTAGATTTTTAATACCCCCAATGATTGATTTATTTCCACAAATGCGAAAACGAATATGCGTATTCAAAACGCATGTCGGTTTACACTTTTTATTTGTGTTGGGAATGAAATGACCTTTATAGCGAACCTTTTAAAACGATATTATAATGCAAGACAAATAATGCGCAAATACATTACCCCGAAAAGCTGGTCAAAGCATTCCCCTTCCTTCAGTTCACATTAAAACTCCGTCCATTATGGTGGAAATAAGCACTTTACACACTCACCGACACACAGACGCGACGTTGACAGGGCTACAGAGGGTCCAGCAGCTGTCTGGATGTGATGGTCCATGAGAGTGAGACAACAGCAGCAGAAGCAGGAGCTGAGAAGATGACATGAGCTCCTGCTCTAGTGACGCGCGCCGATTTCCAAACACAGAACGCATGAGGCGATGATATACAGAGAAAGCGATTGGAAGACTCAACACTATACGATAAAAATAGATCGCTGTAAGTGATACAAATGACTGCAATCACTAAACTCTACATCACTGAGTGAAGAGAGTAATTGTTGTCGAATAGTGTGCGATACAGCAGCGCCCTCGCCTAAATGTAGCCGTACGCTCTTTAATGATGTCAACAGTACGCAAGGCACTTACTACGATTAGCGCGCAAAATAGAGACGGTGAAGTTTTTCTAGCACACAGCGTCCGGTGGCATATTGTAAAATGTTTGTTTTAATGATCCTATAGCTGAGCTAAACTCATCAAAATAAGACAAACTGGAGCAAACACTTTTTATATTCACTTTTAACTCTTATGCTCTGTTGGGGATATTTTCATCCACTCTGGGGAGATTTTGAGTCTTCATTTGGCCATACCTTTTTTTCTGTTTCAGCTAGCAGAATGATTTTTGATGACAAATCTTATTTTGACACAATATTTTGGGAAAATTCTGTGAATTTAATTGAATTTTTATTTACTATCTTTACCTTTTTGTTATGTTGGAGATGAAAACATCCACTAAACTAAGCTGCTGTAAAAATGCATCAGATTTTTTTCTTACTTTTTGTATTAATCTGTTAATCAAGCTCAGTCTACTAAATTGTTTAGAACATTACATTTTATCCTCCATATAACTCCAGGGTGCGACTTATACATTGGCGAATGAGGTGGTGTAGGGGGAAGTCAAGTTTTCATCAGTGAACCAATAAATTTAAATCAATTACATCTAATTTAATCATCAGACTCGTTGTTTTTAGTGTTTTGAGGGATTTTCGAGTGGTTCTCAATGACATTTGTCATATTAAATAAGTGACAGGTTTGCTTTCCTGCACCTATTAATGGATGACCACAAAAGACAAGACACATTTTCTATTTTACTGTTAAACTTCCATGTGTGAGCAAGTGTATAATAAAATACAAACTATGCATCTAGTTTTACAGACACCTACAAATGTCCTTTTTAAAGAAACCTGTTTTATGAACACACACTGTCTGTTGCCATTTACTGGTTTTAAACCAACAAATGTATATTTTTGGCACAAACCTGCATTCACAATGGTATGAACCATTATAGGGGTGGTCAAATACACTCTCAGAAAAAAAGGTACAATGAGGGTACAATTTTGTTCCTAGAGGGAACAAAATATATAATTGTACCTTTAAAGGTCCCATATTGGTCCTTAGGGTACAATTTTGTACCCAAATGGGCTATAAAGGTACAAATGTCCAGATTTAGGTTTGAAAGGTACATTTTTGTACCTTTTATAGCACATTTGGGTACAAAATTGTACCGTAAAGGACCAATTTGGCACCTTTAAAGGTACAATTATATATTTTGTTTCCCTATAGGAACAAAATTGTACCCTCAGCTCATGATAAGATCAAGACACTATATAACAATAATTTAAATGTATTAATACTAAACATTAATACTAAAATACATAATTTAAAAATATAATAAATAAATAAATTGATTGAATTAAATATTTTAATAATTATTTTTTTTTCATGTATTTAAATTACATTTTTTCTCAAAAATGTTAATAATTTAATTTATAATTAAATGTAATTTTAATCATTAAAAACGTAAATACTGGTCTTTGCTTACTGTTTAAGTCGCTATAGTATATATGGGATGTAGAATAAGAACCATGCAGAGTGACAACATCTTCATACAGGTGGTGATGTACTGTCTCTTTAAGAATTTGGCTTGTTGAGACGTTATAGTAGTGTTTGTTACTGAGGCGGTCCGTCGACTATGCTGGCTGTTTACACAGAACTTCGCACGCTTTTCAAAGAAAAGTCTATTTTGGAGTCCACACTTTTCAGGTAAGAATGTATTAAAGATATATTTTCAGTCTCATTTTTACATGTGAAGCCGTGTTCTGTTGATTTTGTCTGACTCTCTGGTCTCGGCTTTCCCCCGCTTTGTGCTCCGGACTGGCAAGTGTAACGTTACGTTGGCCTGCAGGATGGAGTTTGCTAAGATGTCTGCAGCTTATTAAAGAAGTTAATACAATGTGATATCGAAGTCACCGAGGGACATAACCTTATAGACGGTGAGTACTATATGCTGTTAGTTTTCTCGGTGTAAAAGTTCCCTTTATCGCCTACGTTACGTATTCGCGCCTTATATGTTACGTAACTGCTTTATTAATAAGTTTTGCCACGGCGGAATATTATCGCAACCCAGATAGCAAAATACACTTGGGCCAGTTGCGGCTAGATTCTCGCCTGCCCGAGTCCGTCTGCTGTATCGTTACTCGGGCCAGATGCGGCGGCAGAAGCGAGCCGACGCTGCCGTAACCGTGCACCGGAATCGGGCCGTGAGTAATGTGCGGTGTGGCCCGGAGCTGCCGCGACTGAAGTCTTCATATACCTTGATATAAAACCTTTTGTTATTAATACTGGAATTTGTAATTATCAATAATGTTTTATATTTTGAGGCCATTTTCTAGCCACGGTTGACCGCGGAAATGTATTTTTAGAAGGTTATATACACCGCCATTTTGTGAAGAAAAATCACAATTTTGTCACCGGCAAAGCGACTGATTATGTAAACGTGGCTAGTTACAAACGTGGCGTGTGTATGCTAACGTACATATCTTCGTTTCAGTGTCTAAGTTACATTAATGTTGAGGAGTGTCCACAAACTCTCATGTCCAGAATTGTTGGTGCTTTACTATCGTTTAACGTAATACTTATATATAAATAAAATACTATAAATAAATAGTTATTGCTTTATCTTATTGCTTTCCTGAAGTTTATGAAGTTTCCAATTGTCTTTCAGGACAAGATTGAACAACATAATGCAGCCTAACAGCATTAGACCAATGAAGGCATGTCATATGAAAGCATGGCTCAGTTACAAGATGTATGTTTCATTATCTATACCATGGTTTTAATGGCTTACATACTATTTTAAATTTGTAGGTTTTTACTTACAAACAACAATAAATGTACACCTACGTGTTTAAAATTATTTTCTAGGTTTTCATCGAAAGATGAGAGATCAACTGAAGAATGCTATGGACCTGACTCTAAGGTACTCTTTCTAAACTTTCTCCACTTGATTAATATTATTAAATTCTAGCTTTGTGTGGATTCCTTCATATTTGTTTGTATGCCACATCTTATGTTCCAGGAATTGATTTTACAGCAGCACTTCTCATGTTGCCAGCCTTGTTAAGCGAGACACTTCAACATTTCGTTGTGCTCTGGTGCGTATGTTGTTTTCTGTTTAGTATATGCTGTGATAAATGCATTTTATAATGCTTGATATTCTTTATATTAGGATGACGCAGTGGGTAGTGCTGTCACCTTACAGCAAGAAGGTCGCTGGTTCGAGCCTCGGCTGGGTCAGTTGGCATTTTTGTGAGGAGTTTGCATATTCTTCCAGTGTTCGTGAGGGTTTCCTCCAAGTGCTCCGGTTTCCCCACAAGTCCAAAGACATGCGCTATAGCTGAATTTGGTAAGCTTATTTGTCTGAAGTGTATAAATGTGTGTGTGAATAAGTGTGTCTGGATGTTTCGTAATACTGGGTTGCAGCTGGAAGGGCATCTGCTGCATAAAACATATGCTGGATAAGTTGGTGGTTCATTCCACTGTGGCGACCCCAGATTAATAAAGGGACTAAGCCAAAAAGAAACTGAATGAATGAATGAAATTTATATTAGTCTTTTAATCTGTGATACTTTTTTTTTTAAATCAGTGAATATTAATTATTTTCCTTTCTATGCATGTTGATTTTCTCTTCATCAGTGATAGAGTGACTGATATTAATGTAATTATTGCTTTGTCATTTACAGTGAATCATCTTCACCACATCCAACAGTTCAAGTATAGGAGGAGGCCACCGACTGGACAACTGTGTTAACAAGACGAGTCACGGCAGTCTTCAGAGTTGATGGGATTGCGATTGGCCGGGCTAATGGTGTGGACGAATATACATTTTTGACATATCCATCTTATTAGAAGAACACCTTGATGTTTCTGCAGTGGAATGTTTTGAATGAACGGTGGACAGTGACAAGCCTCGATCTACTCCAGTTACCAGAGTGATCAACCTTGTTTTTTGTTTCTCTACATGCTCTTGGGATAATCACAATCAAGTTAATCCAGCACACTGCTCTCATTCATGCATAAAGCAAATTTTTAAATAACTTGTGGTCCTAATGACTATCAAAGAACATTTTCCAGATATGAGTGCTTTACATGTCATGTTTATCAAAAGCATAAACACATATTGTGTTACAACAAATTACAACTCCACTTGAGGATGATGAGGAGTAATCTACTGGTGTTGAGGAAGAGGCTACTGATGTATTTGGTTTTCTGCACTGTTGAAGCAATTTATAGAGAAACATTGCCTTCATTCTGAAATACAGAGAAAATTTTGATGACAAATTATTTATTATGACTGAGTATTTTGACTCAAGACAAATACTTTGGACTTTATAAAGTGAAGTACTTGATGTAGCCTGTGTAATGTGTTTATAAATCTTAAACAGTATTCTTGTGGTCTTTGTATTAAGGGTAGATTATATACTGTACAGTGAGTGAACAATTTTTATTTGTTTTCTAAATTGTTCTTTTTACTGTTTTACATGTCTGCTTTATATTTACTGTGTAATTTTATTTCTTGACACATTCAGTTGTGAGTTGTAATGAAATATTTCTACATTAATAAATAAAAATGGACATCTACGAACCGAAATATTTTATTTATTTATTTGTGCATGCAGTCACCAAAGGATCAAAATGCCTGGGTCAGTACCCTGAAAATGCTATATAATATAAAAAGGTACATTTTTGTACCTTCGGTGGGGGTACAAAATTGTCCCTTAAAGGGTACAAATGTAGAAGGTACAATTTTGTACCTTTAAATAGAGGTACAAATTTGTACCCTTAAGGGTACCACCCCAGTGACGGGCCATTTGTACCCTAAAAGGTACAATTTTGTACCTTTTTTTCTGAGAGTGTATATATTGAAGATATCATTTAAGTTCATATTAATTATTAATATTACTTAAAATACAGATCTGAGCAAACTATTTCTTAACTATTGAAGGCATCTCCCCATACATCTTGGTTTAATGTCCTTCAAGGGGAGGGATCGAGTGTTAATCAGGGGGGTCAGATCCCCTGTAATTCTTACCATTCTTACTCCATATAAAATCAGGTGACTAAGCTTTTTTTTTTTTTTTTGCACAGGCCTATTTAAAGGGTTAATGGTCCCAAGTGATAATCAATAGTGAAAATTTGACCTCGTCCCAACAGGGAAAACCAACTCCAATCCAAAATGCACATTAGATGCTGTCATGGTTTTGTAATAAAAAAGTGGTTATAATGGAAGTCAATGGGGCAATAACAGCCACCAACAGTAAATTAGAGAGAAACAAATTTAATCTACCAATGCATCAAAGCCAATGTTTTTACTTGTTCACACATCCAAGACTGTGATAAAAGATTTTTAAAAATGCAGTCTACAGTGACTCTTTTATTGAAAATACACAATTTTGTGTGTTTTTCACCAAATCAGTGACATCATTTATGAATTTGGCTATTAAAAAGTTAAAATCCTCTAATTTTTAAAAGCATTTAGTAGTTTAAATGAGGACTGAGGTTGATTAACAGATTTATGCAATCTGATGTATTTTTACAGCAGGTACATTTAGTGGATGTTTTCATCTTGAACATAACAAAAGTGTACATTTGAACAGTGCACGAGGGTTAAAAAGATACTCCAGTAATGCACATTGTAAAATTGGCTACTTTCCAAAATAGTCCCACTATCCAAAAATCCAAAGAAAATATATTGGCTATATGACTATTTAGTAGAATGTTGTTAATAATATTTCATTGTTTCTCTCTCATATTTGATTAGCAGGTATTCTCATGCAAATTGAAACGCAGAGCACACACTTTCCAAGCACAAGTATGCTCAGACTACGTATTATAGCATCTGAAAATCAACATTTAACCACAAGTACACACACACACACACACACACACACACACACACACACACACACACACACACACACACACACACACACAATCTTATATCATTAAAAGGTGAAGTATGAATTTCCCCTGAACAGATGTAACTTTTGTATGTGACTGACATAATCTAAAAGTCTATTAGCATTTAATGTATTTTTCACATAAATATTAATATGTTTGGTAATAAAATATTAAATCTCATTGTCATGGATTCAAAACCAAAACTCAACTCTGTATTGATATGACAGAATCCCACAATTGCTGCAGGTTTGTCACATCCATGAAGCAAATCTGTTCCAGCACATTCCAAAGCTGCTGTAGTCTAGTGAACTGAGATTCTGGTGACTGTGGAGGCCATTTGAATACAAATCCCTTATTGGCATATTCAAGTAAAAGGTTTGAGATGACTTAAGCTTTGTGACAAGGTGTGTTATTATCTTGCTGGAAAAGCCATTATAAGATGGACACTGTGATCAATAAGAGATGGACACGGTCAGCAACAACGGCCAGAACTAGATTGGCATTTAAAGACCTCAATTGTTACCAAGGAGCCAAAGTGAGCCAAAAAAGCCATTACACCATGATACTTATGCCAAAATGTACCCAATAAAGTGTCTGGGCAGTGTAGTATAGTGTAAAGTGCATGTTCAAGTTGGATACATTTAAATGGAAAATTAATCTTGTCGTTACATCCTTGAATTTTAGAGCTCGGTGTATATGAATATGGTTTACTGTATATATGAATACTGTTAATCTAAAACAATTCTCTTTTTCAAAGTACATTTTAATAAATACAACATCAAGAAACCTCAAAATTAGGGGAATAAAAATAAAACCGAGCTCGTTTTCCTCTAATAAATCTCAACCTTGCTGCATTCACTTAGGTAATTAAGAAAAAGAGAGCTAGTTGGGCGTGACACGAGCACTTCTCAAAGATATCTCTTTTAATTGGATGTGCCACTGCTAATGATCATCCTAATCGCATCAACGCTGACTCTTTGTTCCAGCCGCACTTGCAGTAGAGCTAAATCTTTCTATTCTTTAGAAACTGGCACTGAGAAATGCCAATGTTTCTCCTTTCTCTGTCAGCAGGGGCTGTGTTGGTTGGTAAGTAGATTTATTATGGTGAAATTGATCATGATGGGCAGAACAGATGTGGGATCAAGCACAGATGGTCACATTCTTAAATCGGAGCCAAAATATTAGGGAAAATGCTATAAACAGCTGTAGGTCTGTGTATGATCTGTCAGAAAGTATTGTGAGCTAAATTAAAAATATTTACCTCAAAATGATGCCAAGTGGATTTAGTGATGATAAAAAGCAAGTAACTTGGCTCCCTCTAGTGGCGCTCATAAACACATGCATCAGGGAATGCACGATTCGACCCAATCCTGTTTCTGCTTATAACTGTCAGCAGGCCCGTCTTTTCACATCATGAAAACCAGAGGCATATGAGACCTCAGCACAGTCTGGCTCATCATCCTAAATTCATAAAGGAAACTGAAGGCAAAGTTAGAGGTGTGTCCAGGGGCGTGGTCGACATTTTAAAAGTGGTTTACACTTCGTGTTGGATTTTCTTTTTAATACACGCGATTATGCCGTCAAACTGTTGTGTAAAAGCAATATCACACTATAGCAGTGTGATGTGGCTGTATATTGTCACTGCTGGGATATATATATATATATATATATATATATATATATATATATATATATATATATATATATATATATATATATATATATATATATATATATATATATATATATATATATATATATATATATATATATATATATATATATATACACAGGGGCGTAGCACCAAATTCTTGGCCCTGTACCCTCTCAATGTCAGTGGGCCCCCTACACATTTTTTTAAAATTATTTGAATATAAACATATATTGAATATAAACAAATAGTGTTTTAATCTATAATCAAATCAGATTATAATAATGACTGGTTCTTTCATTCACCACCATTGAGTGCTGCTTCTGCTGGTGTGTCAGAACCACTGATTGCTTCTGAAACTGGTTAATGTTGGCACCCTGATGTTAGCTGGCCTGGCCCATAATTTACTTACAGCAACAAGCTGCCTAGTTGACAAACTAAGCTAAAGTTTTAACATTAGCATACATACATTACAGGGCTTGAAATTAACTTTTTACTTGGTAGCACTGGTGCTCCCAACTTCAAAAAGTTAGGAGCATCCCAAAAAATTTAGGAGCACCCATTTTCTTTTTAGTTATGCGCCGATCATGATTCTTAATGGCCGATTTTGATTGGCACACGTACATCTCGGAGATGTCTATTTGACGTCTGCATTAGTGCATTCACATCTGCAAGACATCTACAAGACGTTTCCTATCAGATGTGAAATAGACTACTATTAGACATCTTTAAGATGTTTGCGATTCAGAATGTGTGTAAAACTGACATCACACAGACGTCTGCCAGACGTTTGTATACAGCAGGTGCTTTCCAGATCAAGAGATCTTTAACAGACATCTTGCAGACGTATACAGACAAATATCTAATACAATAGCATTTCAAACTTTATACCATTAAAAAGGGATAAATGAATTATATAATTTCTTATATTAGTATTACTTAATTGTTTAGATTTTTAAAAGGCACATTAACTTCTTTCACATTTACACATAGATCGATAATTGCAATAATTTGACCATAAACAGCTGAAAAAAATTATTGGAAATAAAAATTCATTCTCTGTCACAAGGGGGCGCTTTAGAAGCGCTGAAATATTACGGTTTCCCTAGTAATGACTGTACACAAATCAGCATTATACTGTATGCGACCCAAATGGTCGCAATTTCGAGCCCTGCATTAGCAGCAGCTGTCTGGAGTTGACTATGTTAACTTCAATTAGATGTAATTTCATAACAAGAAAACTCAGTTCACCTTTTGAAAAGCAGTCATCAGCTGCTTCCCCTCATTCTGCCTCCTTTCTTTTTCCTTCTTGTCTTTCTTTTTTGAAAGCCCGATTTGGGCTTTTTGCGCAGCATTATCAGGCTCTAGACTCACTGCGTTACCTGTTTGCCGCCCATAGACGGCTGCCGTCTATGGGCGGACTAAACCATTTCGGTTGTTATCAATATATTTTGAATAATTGAAAAAAAATAATTGAATAAAAAATTGGTGGAATTTCAAAGGGCCCTCTCCCTAGACGGGGCCCTGGGTAGTCAGGTCCACTTTTCCCCCCACTATATATATATATAAACACACACACACACACACACACACACACACACACACACACACACACACACACACACACATATATATATAAATATATATATAAATAAACAAAATGTATATAATTTTAAAATTATTTTGAAGTTCTTACAAGGACGAGGTGAATCACTGTCAAATACTTTAATCGAGTACAACTAAGCCATATCCGCGCGAGTGTGCGCGCGTTCACACTCACACACACACACACACACGCACGCACGCACGCACGCACATGCGCGCGCGCACAAACACACACACACACACACGCACGCACGCGCACGCACGCTTGCACGCACGCGCACACACGATTATCTATCTATCCATCCATCCATCCATCCTGCTAACAGTGTACAGGACACAGGAAATAGGCAAAAGAGAAATATTTATTTGATGATAGACCTCAGTTTCCAAATAACTGACCGCTCAAAAATGTACACAGCTTCCTGTTTTTTTTCTCTTTTTTCCTTTTTTCAGGATCCACAGACAGCAGTTGTAATATCTATGACCACATGCAATGGGTTTTGTCCACTACACAAACAGGTACTTAAGCCCCTAAACCAGCAGCACCTTGACCTGAGCCGCACTCCTCCATCACAGCAGACAGCTGTACTCAAGCTAAAACCACATCCCATGCTTTATTAGAGTCCAGCACTCTCCCACGTTCAATTTATGGGTTCAATTTCTGATGGCAACAGCTAAAGGTTTTTCTCAGAGGACTGTATGAGGGACACACATCCATGCACTTATGAAGTTTACAGGTAATGTTCAATATGGGACTGAAGGACCGTTGCTCATAGTGTGAAGGATTTTATACTTCTTCCAGAGGTAAAAACAAGGACGGTTCTTCTTATTATTAAATAATATGAAAATTTAATGTCCAGGTCTGCAGTGTGGTGTCCCATGTTAAAAGGTCTCTGGACAGATAAAGTGCACTTGATGGCTGAGGTTCTTCAGCAGTGGGTTTCCTCATCCAGAACGACAGCAAAACAACTCAATGTCTGCAATATGTAGCACTGTAGCACCAAGTGTCCACCAGTAAGGCAAGATACTGTAATGTGGCAGGCTGCAGATGAGAAACACGCAATGGCAATATGTATGTGCTTGTAAAAGACGACAAAAAAGTCACAAAAACCTCTGGGTATTCATGAAGATCAGTGCAGCATTTCACTTTCCCTTTCAGTCCAAATTGGGACCACTGAGGACGTGGATAGAAAAGCTAATCACAGCATTCAAGGAGACTATTCCTGATACTCCATTGCACGTTAGCGTCCTCTCAGATTAAGAGGAAGACATAATGGTGGATGTATCCTTCATTGTCCAAGACATAACACTCTCGGTCAGCTGCTCCTTTTGTTCCAGTGAGATGAGGAGCAGATCTGGTCACTGCTCATTTCAGTCAAAGAAATGTTCACTCTGATGTTGTGTGGTCTTCTGCTTGAATGAGTTGATTGAAAGTGTACAGCCACAGAACAGAGATGCTAATGCTGCAGCCTCATAAAGCAGACGCTGTTGGGAGTGAGAAACATGTAAAAAAAGGCACCGTGTTTCTGGACAGGGCGGATGTACGAGTGTATATGTGCAAGATGAGTCTAAATCCATCTCTTTTTACCTCCATCTCTAAAGGCATTACCATTTACTAAGGCAAAATCTCTCTGTAAAGAAATGCAAAGTGCATCTTTTCTGCTCTCATATATTCTTTGCACAGCTGCCACTGGACCAATGTCCAACGCTGCATTATAATCATAGATATATCTCTTTAATAAATTATATTTATATTTTTATATATATATTTATTCATCCCACCCCGATTATACCACTGTGGCCAGCAGCGCACATCACAGGTACTACTGTACAAACTTAAAGCCATGCTTGTCCTTTGGCTACTTCAAGGCAAAGTTCTGCTTGGTTCACAGATTCCTCGGACGATGCTGAGAACGAACAGACTCTGAGCAGGTTTCTTCACAGAGATCACACAGACATTCCGAGAAAGGGAGTGGGGGGGCATATCCGTACATGACGAAATGAGACAGAGGTACAAAAAAAATCATTGTAAAATATGATTCCAGCGAAAAGTCTTCCATGAGGTGATGCCATGGGAAGCAAAGAGTCCTCTCAGACGGCTGCGGATCAGAACGCAATCTGATTGGATGATCTGTGAGCCCAGAGTGTCACTGCACACCCTCCTCATCAACATACGTGGAGGGAAACCATCCAATCTGAATGGAAACATGGACACAATGTGAGAATACACAACTTGAGACTGGCACACTCAGTAATTGTTACCTTTTAATTAAAGGAATGCATTAATCAGGGTTTCAAGTCAAATTGAAGACATTTTAAGACCATTATGAATGACATTTTAGATTTATTTGGGCCAGTTAGTTCTGTAAATAGTTTTTGTATTAATGGAAGATCATCTGAAGAGATTTGTTGCTTTAGTTTGATTTCCCTGATTAGAGAGTTTAATTTGCAGAATTTTGGGTGAAGATGGCTAACAGCTGTTGTGAATAGTATCTCTTTGAAATAAACTTAAATATATAAAAAAGTTTTGGTGATTGGGGGCCGGCTCGATTGGGTAGCTTTACCTGGACATGGGAAAATTGAGACCAGTTTAAAATGATTTAAGACCTACGTCACAATATGTCAATGAATTTAAGATTTTGTTTAATGAAAAATTTCTGAAATGAAATGAAAAGTTTTTGCAGATACCCTGATTTATGTGCATCAGTTTGATCAAATGTAACGTTACTGACAGGATTGGCCAACAGTACATTTAAACAAGCTTTCACAAATGATAAATATGAGATTCATCTTTCTCATCAACACTTCCGATTCTATTTTATATTCCTAGAAAATAAAAATTGCATACCAAATAGGGGTGTAACGGATCACAGTTGATTTGCTATTCATTTGAATCACAACCCACAGTTTGGAAAACACGTGACCCACGTATTAATAAACTATTTTTTACTGGTAGATTAATCCTAAATTTGTAACGATCGCAGAGAGATCGCCTCTCACTTCATTCAAATCACATGTAGGAAAGCATTTAGGCTTTCCTGTGAAATATAATGATGACGAAAGAAGTAATGGTGAGTAATTAGGCATGAGGTAGTTTTCTTAGGTTATTAAAGGTGTTTTCTGTCACTACTTGTTTAGCCTGCATCAATGCATTCAGTGTAAGCTGCATGATTAATCATTAAAAGATCGAGATCTCAACATCCACACAACATAAACTATAAATGATGGTGATTTGCATATGTTGAGATTCAGTCTTTATTCTTTAGAGTTAATTATGAAGTTACAAATGGCCCGTTTCCACTGAGAGGTACAGTACGGTAGAATACGGTTTGGAACAATCAAATAACACAGAAGTACTGGGGTAACAGTTTATAGTTTACATATAACCACAGACATTTATGGTTCAGATTAAAATCACTATTATGTGCATTTAACAATGCTCAAAAATGAAGGTTGTAGGCAGAATTGACATTATTTAACTAGTAGGTGATCAGTCAGGCTGCCATCAAATATATGCCACTGAATAGCTCTTCAAAAATGACAGATCTAGCAATGAAACATGACGTTTTATGAGTCAATAACTGACTCATTTATTGAAAATGAGACTAAATATACATTTCATACTGCATATACTGTATACATTTAGCATCATCAGCAACAGTAGTAGTAATGATAGTACTGAATAATTTACAAATTTTGTTCAGCTGATTATTTCTTCATTTTATTTTTAATGAAATTACAGGTTCTAGGTTCTGTTTGATAAAATCAAAAGTGTCTTCCAGCACTGTTTTTGTAATAAATAAAAAAAGCTAATTACATTTGTCGTCTCCTGTTTTTTTACTTATATAAAAAATGGTCCGATACAAGACAAAAAATAAAATAAAACCTACAATGTGATCTGAACTGTGAGATTTGTGATCCATTACACCACTAGTCCCAACACTATGCATTCTCCATTACTTTATTACTGCATCACCGTCTTACACTACAGTAACAATCCCTTTTCTCTATTTTATCCTTTAAAAACGGTTTGCACGCTAGATTAGACTAACCAGGAATTGTGATATTTTTGTTCTCATGTTGCGTTGATTGCTTTCCTCCATTGTCTATTGCTAGATCACTTTGTATGAGAGCGTCTGCACTGCAGTTCCAAATAATTACATTTAAATGCAAATCATTGGCTTGCTTCATTTACCCTGCCGTTGGCTTCTCCTTTCCACCAGCCTTGGTCTCCCCCAATCTTGCTGTAGATCTTGACGATGTCTCCTTCTCGCAGTGACAGCTCTCGCATGTCTCGGGCAGCAAAGTTGTATCGCGCCACAGCTGTGCTGACTACCCTGGGTGTGAATACTGTACAAGCCAACCAAAAGCCCCAGATTAGCGCATTAAACACGGAGGAGCATCATTAGCAGATGAGTGGACACATTATGACACTGTGAGTGAGATGAACTGTAATGACTGAAAGCTTGTGAAAACTGCTCTACTAATAGGCCATTTACACTGGAATTGTATGAATATCTGAAGCTGTAATGGATGGATGCTGGAAACTCAAGCGAGATGGTTGAGAATGGGAGGACATGAAGGGGAATTCGGAAACATGAACGATGTAAGAAGCGCAGTACCTGACCAGAAGGGAGCAGAGCTTTGAGAGGAGAAATTGAGGCCCTGAGGACTAAGGAAGGAGAAGTTGTAGGAAGCACAGGTGGCTGCTGAGACAGGAGAGAGAGAGAGAGAGAGAGAAAGAGAGAGAAAGTGAGAGAGAGAGCACAAAAAATAAATAAAAGAGCAGTGCACAACAGTGTAATGTTTTTCTTCATGTTTTCTTTATCAAATTTAAGACAAGGCAAAAGTGTGTGTGTATAAGGTGTGCATTGATGGATTTGCTCTTCAGTGTTTGGACTTTCAGCAGTGAAATTTAAACCACACTGGACTGAACTAAACTGAATGCAGCACCCAGAAATGCTTTTACAAATCGTCTCCTCCAATATTTTACATTCAAATAAAACTACTATAATGCTACTATACAGATGCTTGCACCGTGCGCCCCTCCTCAGAGTTCTTCTGATACTGTAGGGCCACTGCCAGGCATGGGACGATAACCGATTTCAAAGTTTATCGGGGTTTGGAAAAGTCAAGGTTTAAAACCACCAGAATTTTCTGTTATACTGGTCTTACGTATGTATATGTACAGTTTTTTTTTGGTGTGGGACTATTTTATTTAGTTTTTAGAGCAACAGTACCTCCAGCAGAAAAGGAGCCTCCACATCAAAAGCCACTGCTCCAAAATATTTGAAATGTTTATTAAAATAAAACATATTGTGTTAAATGTGGGAAAAGTTGTTGTTTTTTACCCAGACATTTAAAAGAACTTAATTTAGAGCAGTAACCACAATACTGTGACACCGTGATAATTTTATGCAAGTTATCATAGATCACAGGTCATTATAGGTCACAATCTTTGCTTTAAAATTGAGCGACTCTGCATGTAAAAGCTAAAATTACCTGCAATAGGTGAGAAATACAAGCAAAAAGGTAATATAATTATATCAAATGCATTTAAATTTATTTATCATGATGTCCATATATATACTAAGCAGCACAAAAGTTTTAAAAAGTAGAAATGTAATGTTACGTGTATTTATATAGCGCTTTTATTGTGTATGGCCATACAAATCAAGGTGGGGTTCTCCCCATTCCGCCACCAGTGTGCAGCATTTACTAGGATGATGCGACGGCAGCCACAGGACAACGGTAAAAGTGCCCTCACCACACACCAGCTATTGGTGGAGTAGAGGGACAGTGATAGAGCCAATTGAGTGGATGGAGATGATTGAAAGGCCATGATGGAGAAGGGCCAATTGAAGGAATTTGGCCAGGACACCGGCATTACACACCTACTCTTTACGAAAAGTGCCATGAGATTTTTAATGACCACAGAGAGTCAGGACCTCAGTTTAACATCTCATCCAAAAAACAGCCCTCACTGACAGTAGTGTGCTCACTTATATTTAATAATTAAATATATTTAAAAGACTAACAGATAAATAATGTTACAAAGCATTTATATTTAAAATTATTGTTGTTCTTTTGAAGTATTTGTTCATCAAAAAACATTTAAAAAACATTAATTTTTTAATGTTTTGAACACCAAATTATCTTGAAATGATTTATGTAGGATTGTGGGACACATTAAAAAGGAAAAACTAAACACATTTAGCATTGTAATACCATTTTAAACTAATATATATATATATATTACTCAATATTTTACTAAATAAATTAGCAAAAGTGAGATAAATATTTGAGAGAGAAAACATCTAAAAAGACCCAAGCTTTTTATGTTTGTACATAATCCTATATTCGCATTACTTTTATACAGTGAACGTCCTGTGTCTTTTCTGTTTCATGGAAGAAGATAGGTTATACTGAGAGTGAATGACAAGATTTTCATCTTTGATGAATGACTACTTTAAGTGGCTCTTGGATTAGATAGAGGATCTTTAAACCTTTCAAACTCAGAGCTATACTGTCTTTATGCACTTGCTTAAAAATACCAGTGAGCACCAGTTAAGCTTGACTCGAAGAGGAACAAAGGCCCATCATTTATAATACATCTAATGAAGCATCTGTTTATTGGAACCCATTCAGCTGGCCAAGCAAAACTTGGCCCCAGAAGCCAAAAGCCTCAGTCAGGCCACAGCCTTAGCCAGAGTGGGCGGACCTGTGACTACCAAACCTAAGATGACTGACAGCTGAAATACCAGTGGGCGGAGCCTTCTGAATGTGAGGGCGGGACCAGCTGGTAGGGTTTATTTGTTCAGACCTCGAGAGCGTGTCCAAAAGAGCTGCTGGCCAGAATGGTGGAGGCTCAATAACACATGTGTGCCAGAGAAAGCAAGAAAGCAAAAGGGCGAAAATAGAAAAGACAGAGAGAGAGAGAAAGAGAAATAGAGAGCAAGAAAAACGTGACAGATAAAAAAACGAGGAGGATTATGGCAGGGAGTGTTTACCTGGTGAGCGGGTATTGGTGCGAGAGCTTGAGCGTTCCCGGGATTTGTAAGGGTACCGTAATGTTGTGTCCAACAGCTTAAAACTCTCCTTCAGTGAATGACTCTGATAATACTCCACAAGCTCCTGTTACACGTATCAAAAGTTTCAGTTTCATGTTCCAGCTGTTATTACCTTTATCAATGTACTGCAGAAACTAAAACTCCATTTTCGGTAGAAATATCTGTCCTAGCCAGGAAAATAGTTACAGTTTTAGGTAGGCTTGGATTAGGCTTTAGTTCTGTGCAAATGAAATGCAAATTAAGAGCCGCATTAGCATCACTCATCTCGTTTTCTGGCAGATGTGCAGCATATGGCTTTAAAGATGAACAATTGGATAAAAAAGCAGACAAACAGCATAATTTAGAATGCAAATTTTACAATAACATGGAAAAGAATTTGACTTATAGTCTACTGAATTACCATTCAAAGTAAGGTATATGTAGGTGTTCATGTTTTTGAAACAATTTTCTTTAGTTATTTCAGTGATGGTAAAACTTAATGTTCAACAGCCATTCAGAACATCACGATTATTCAGTAACATTTCTTATTACTCAATTTTTAAACAGGGTTTCTGCAGGTTTCATTAATACAAATGTAAGTTATACAGAGCTAAACAGTTTTACAGAGCTTATACAGTTACTTACACAGAGCTAAACACTAAGGATTTGTTGTAATAGACCGGTTGGGCCAGAGGAATTGGGGGAAAAAATCTAATTAACCACATACTTTAATGTGTCTAGTTAGTATAGTTGTATTCACTTTTTTCCAACATTTCTTTTTTAATGACAAGTTTAGCAATGTTAAAAGTATAATTATTATGAATAAAATTACAAAAATATGTATTTGTTTTCTTTTTTGTCCAAATTAATTAATTATAACTCCTATTCAACCAAATGCGTGTCTGTTACAAAACCTTATGCTTCATGCCTATTTATAAATATTATGTCCACTCACCCTTACTTCTGTGAATAGGTTTTGTGTAAATGGAAGATCATGTAAAGGAATGTATTGCTGTTATTATCATGAGGAATTGTGTAATTCTTGGTTAGGGAATTTAATTAAGAGAATTTGCTGTAAAAATGTTTAACAGCTGTTGTGAATCACTTTGCAATAAAAAACTAAAGTATTGATATAAAAAAACTTGTTATTTTTGGTGATTGGAGACTTTTAAAATTAACCAGTTTAAAATGATTTAAGACATAAACTCAATGTGAATTTAAGACTTTAAGGCCAAACATTTTATTATTGAATATTTAAGACTTTTTAAGACCCCGCGGACACCCTGTTTAAAAGAGTTACGCTTGATATTGATATCTGTTTTGCTTTTTTTAAAATGGTGATAGTTTAAAATAAAATCTTATGTTAATAGAAACATTAACATTTATTAGAAATAGAAATTCTAAGATTACTTGCCTTTTTGGTCACTTTTTGTACATTAAACAAAATATTTTGGCAATAAATTAGTATGTTAAGCAATTGATCCAAGTGAATTAATTGCAAGTTGTTTTTTTGAGTGCAGTCTTCACTGTGCAACTTAATAAAACTCCTTAATGATATTAATGATATTGACTGTGAGAGGCTTCTCTTACCAAGAGGCTTTCAAACTTCTTGGCCTCTGTGATGTGAATCCAGTTGTCTTTCTCAATAACTTTAATGTGCTTCACTTCATCATTAAACCTGTTAAAAGAAGAGAAATGTTTCTGCCACTCATTAAATCATTAAACTTTTCCTAGGAATACTGCAATGGATCCTTTGTTTCGTAGATAGGCAAAATGCAAAATGCTTGAATGTTGTATTTACACTTACTTAATGCTGATTGCAAATCTCTCCGCCTCTGCCGTTCTCTCTCGGATAAGATAGGTGCCGCTGCTGTGAGACTTGAGCAGGTTGTCGGCCTGCTGCCGCTCCATGTTTCCTGCAAACCTGAAGCCCACAGGGAAAACACACCTCATACACGAGTCTGTTCTATAGACTGTACATCATTACAGGAACTCTCACAGAGGTCATTACCTCATTAAAAGACAAAGACTCAACATGCCTTGTAATTAGTTTAAAGCTAATCAATCACCATCATTGATTTGAGTTATGACACACACAATTCAGTGCAAATATTACTAAAGACAAACACATCAGCATAGCTGCACTCATCAATTTATAATCGCAATTATATTATTAATGTAATGCACAAGACTATGTAATGTTTAAATGAAATAAATTATGCAGTAGCTTGGAATTGTCAATAGAAAAATCCTTGTGTTCTCAAACAGGATGAAATACCATGGATAAACGTAGTAATCCGTCTCCCTGGAGGACTGACGGTTGGAAAATGCCTGGAAAGGCTATTAAAAAAAAACAATGAAAACAGTTATTAAAGACCATAAGACCAATATTAGTGAAGTGCACTGTATAAAACTTTAGTGTACATATATTTAAAAGAGAGATAAATATTTTATTTCAAAATAATTAGAAAAGTTTTAAACCTGTACCTTAGGGTCTAGACATGGTTTCACACTGGAACTGGGAAAGTAGCCAGTCTTTTGGGTTTGAATGAGCTTACCCTGAGAGGAAAATACAACACGGTGTAAAAATGAATTCATCTACATCAAAGAAACTGAATAAGAACAGCATGCTCCTAAAATAGCTGAGTAAAAGTATAGTTAAGAACAAAGTCTGCATAAACTGCAACAGGTATGATCAAATGGGTCAAATAACCAATTACAGTTGGAGTCAGAATTATTAGCCCCCTATAAATTATTATTTTTATTTTCAAATGTTTCCGAATTGATGTTTAACAGAGCAAGGACATTTTCACAGTATGTCTGATAATATTTTTCTTCTGGAGAAAGTCTTATTTGTTTTATTTCGGCTAGAATAAAAGAAAATTTTAATTTTTTAAAAAACATTTTATTTTAATAGTCTACAGAACAAACCATCGTTATACAATAACTTGCCTAAGTATCCTAACCTGCCTAGTTACCCTGATTAACCTAGTTAAGCCTTTAAATGTCACTTTAAGCTGTATAGAAGTGTCTTGAAAAATATCTAGTAAAATAGTATTTACTGTCATCATGGAAAACATAAAATAAATCAGTTATTAGAAATGAGTTATTAAAACTATTATGGTCAGAAAACGTGTTGAAAAAATTGTCTCTCCATTAAATAGAAATTAGGGAAAAAAATAAACAGGGGGGCTAATAATTCTCATTTCAACTGTGTGTACTACAAGTATTCAGCACATGGAAAGTGTCAAACTCAGACCAAAGAAATCACTGTAAAAATGTAAGTAATTTGATGTTCTAATATTGTACCTCCCACCATGATGTGTCTGGATCTCCCTTCAACAGTTCAATGACTTCTCCTGTCTGGAAGCAGAGTGGTATCTTGCCAGGCGGGGCCGGAGTACCATGGTAATTTCGGATGGCCACCATTTTTGGACCTTAAAAACACATTGAATCAAATGTGTGATGAAAAAGCATATGCAATCTTAAAATTCTTATTCCTATAACTAAAACCATTCTCTGAGTTTACTGCATGCATGCACTATACACTAGATGGCAGCAGAGAGCTAAAGTATAACTTCATTAGCTTTTGAGCACTCAGTGTGGTCCATCTCATTTTATGATCTAAATTTTTCATATTGACATAACCTCATTAGTATCACAGAAGAAAGTTACAAAACCACATTTTACTTGTCTTTTTACCTGATTGAGGAAGCCCCGGCTCCTGTCAAAAGCACAAGGGAAATTATGATTTAATGCGCTTCAAAGTGTATTAACGTTTTTATATAAGTATATCAGGCATATTGCAAGACATCCCTACAGTGTCTCTCCAAAATGAGGACAAAGTTTAAAATGAAATAATGTAGTAAAGTTTGGTAAAAGTCAGTAAAAGGGAATGATTAATTTATCAGACATTAAGTCTGAGAGCTGAAAGTTTATTAGTACAGGCCACTAAAAACTCACCGAATCATGGGGACCTGAAATAATAATGAAAGAGAGAGAGAGAGAGAGAGAAAGCACGGTCAGTGGACTCTTCAATTAGAGCAGATGTAATGTACATGCATTTCTTTGAGAAGCAGCTTTCTGAGAGACACTCACTTATTTTGCAGATGGTAATGATCTCCAGACACTCCTTATGTGCGCCTGTCCCACAGAGAGAACAGTAGTATCCCTGGTAGAAAATACCCCTAAAGAAGGACAGAAAAGTGTGAGAGACAGGTATGTCATGATGTGTCTTTGTGTGAATGCAGATAGAGCCTTGACACGTGAGACATGTATATCATATGATAATATGCGCTCATGTCCTGAGGTATTAGAGTTCAAAATCATTCAAAGACAACTCAATTTCGTTTCGAGTTTGAGTGATGCTCACCCATGCATAACTTAGCACAAGCTGACAAAACATTACTGAGAAGGGGCCTCATGTATCAACGCTGCGTACGCACAAAAACTTTGCGTACGCCAGGTTTCACGCTCAGAATCGCTCACGTTTGGATTTACTAACAATGAACTGAACGTGGGAATGTGCGCAACTTCACGGCAGCTTTCTGGCAGGCGTACGCACATTTTTTGTGCGTGTCTGTTTTATTTCCATTGGCGACTCCTAGAGGCAGTTGTGTTAAATTGCTCTCTACAAAGTGTCTGAGCCTTGCAATGGCGTCTTTATGAGACGGGTTCAGCAGGTATATAAGGTTTCCATACCATACAGTTGACCAGCTAAACATTAAAGCACAATTTGCAGCGGTCGCCTGTTTTCCCAATGTAATCTGAGCGATCTACCGCACGCACATTGCTATAAAGACACTATCTGAAGATGAATTTGCATGCGTGAATCAGAAACATTTCCATTCAATATTATTATATCTGTAAAATGTTACAGCACTCCGAACAGTCTCAGTGGCGCGCTCGTAAGATGCATGTGAACATGTTTTGACACGTTCGAGCATGAACTCGGCTCGAATCCAGCGTCTAATGAACTCTTTCTTCTTTTTTTCCCCGCTACATATCAGATTTTGCCTACTATTTATCACGAGAAAGACTAGTAGGAATCATTAATAAGTTTGTGCATCATATTTTATTTGCACATTTATTGAATGGAAATGTTTCTGATTCACGCTTGCAAATTCATCTTCAGATAGTGTCTTAATAGCAATGTGCGTGCAGTAGATTGCTCAGATTACATTGGGAAAACAGGCGACCGCTGCAAATTGTGCTTTAATGTTTAGCTGGTCAACTGTATGGTATGGAAATCTTACATACCTATCTGAAGATGAATTTGCATGCGTGAATCAGAAACATTTCCATTCAATAAATGTGCAAATAAAATATGATGCTTATTGATATGAACTTATTAATGATTCCTACTTGTCTTTCTCGTGATAAATAGTTGACAAAATCTGATATGTAGCGGGGGAAAAAACAAGAAAGAGTTCATCAGACGCTGGATTCGAGCCGAGTTCATGCTCGAACGTATCAATTCCTGTTCACATGGGTCTTACGAGTAGCGCCACTGAGACTGTTAACCATCCTGCAACATTTTACAGATATAAACCACAATATTTCTTTTTTCAATGCACTCAGTGCGATGTTCAGACCCAACTGTGTTAACCGCATCAGCTAAACTCTCCCGCTCTATTTATTTCTTTTATTGTTAATTCCGGAGAACAAACTTGCAAATAACACCGCTTTTCTCCGGTCTACCTCTGAAAGCACCTCCAATTCACATTCTGTTCAAAGTTTCTCTTTTTGCTTGCTTTTGCCATTGCTTTTTCGTTGGGTTTTGCCATTAGCATAGTCATTAGCATATTCATACGGGGGAGGAGGCAGGGAGGGGTTTTGTGCTCGTGCATGTTGCGCTCAGTTTCAAGTTCATTCAGATGTACAAAAGAATATGCGTGAGATTCGGCGTACGCAGTGTTTCATACATCTGAAATTTTTTCTGCGTACGCACATTTACAGCTTTGTGCGTACGCAATGTTTTAGTAAGATTTCCACGCAAGTCTTCGTACATGAGGCCCCAGGTGTTTAAACCCAAGTCAAAAAAAAAAAAAAAAATATATATATATATATATTTGCGCTCTTTGTTTATATAGTGAACTATGTGGCATTCACTATTTACTGGATACTGCGTGAGTCGTTGGAATTTTTAATCACATTTAAAGAACTGGCACGTTTTAAATAACAGGTGTCTTTGTGGAGCAATTCATTGACAAGGCTGAGAAAAGCCCACCCTTGTTACCCGTGGAACGAACAGTGAGAAGTGTTAATGTAGAAATAAATTTAGGGCCCGTGGGCCTAAGTTGGCCTTTGTATCCTTTGATTTGGCCTGCCAGAGGGAAAATGATTGGAAGGGTTGGGGAAGGCCTTTTAAAGAGATTCTCATTTCAACAAACCCTTTGTTTGTTTGTTTTATTTAACTTTTACTTATTAACTTTTTTTTATTGATAATGAAGTTATAGAAAGAGTATATGCAATTAAGTTTCTGGTGTTGTTTTGGATCATAAAATTAGTTGGAAACAGCAAATAAACATAGTGATATCAAAATTAGTAAAAACTGTAGCAATAGTGTATAAAGCAAGATTTATCCTGGACAATAATGTATGTATTATATAACACACTTATGTTGCCAAATATGAGTTATTGTGTTGAAATCTGGGGGAATACATATAAATCTAACATACGATCCTTATGTACAAAGAAAGTCATTGGACTGATAAAAAATGTGGGGTATCTGGGGCATACAAACCCTTTATTTTTAGGTTTAATGATTTGGTTAAATTTAAAACAGCAGTGTATGTTTAAAGCCAGAAATAAATTACTTCTGAAATGCACACAAAAGTTTTTTGAAGAAAGACAAGGGGGATATCATCTGTAAGAAGAACTAAATTAAGAGGTTGAAAACTCCAAAATTGTGTACGTCTGTATGTGGTGTAAAATTATGGAACAGTCTAGAACAGATTCTCAAAATGTCAGGATATCAATCAATTTAACAAGTTAAAACAAATATTTATTATTAAAGGACTATTATGATGAAGAGAGCTGACTGAAAAAGAATACAATAAGAAAGGTATGATCAAATTTCAGTTCATGGCTGTTTGCAATACTATTTATATTTGGGTGTATGTTATAAAATGTAAATGTACAAATGGAATCAAACATATAATATGCAAAGGATACCAAAAGGATAAAATATGTCTCATGCAAAGCTCATATGTCTCATGTAAAAAGAAGAGATAAGTAAAAGAAGAAATAAGTAATAGACAAATGATGGGAAAATATTAAGCTTGTGCTTCATCTCGCTCCATTTCGACCATGTTGAAATGTATTTTTTGTTAAAGAATTTTCATGTATGATATTTCTGTTCAAAATAAATAAATCAAATCAAACTGAAATTAAAGTTCAATTAAATGATTTGTTTTAAATGTACATAATGTCACTTTATGAATAGGGGATAAAGCAGAGGACATCACCGTGCAAATCAAGGCAGGTTTAGCATGACTAGTGTATTCAGCATTGAACTCCAATGTTTTAGAAATAGATTTTTTTATTGGTTTTATTGTAATAAGTTTGTTAAAATAATATACATTTTCAAAAAAATATGAAGTAAATACGGTTGAAGTAAATTTGACAATTTATTTATAAATATTATGAAATAAATTAGGAAATTACTCATGGCAACTTCCTACAGTTTGCTATATTTACTTTCGGCCCACAGCTCTCAATCAAGCTTGGATTTTGGCCCTTCATAAGAAAAGGTTTGGGCACCCCTGACATAGAATATATTGTATCACTTAGCCAACAGTAGCAAACAGACACATAAAACAAAATGATTAATATTAAAACTTGGCAACATTGTCCTGTTTCCTTTGATAGTACAGTTAATCCATTGCAATACACTGACTAAGCTACATTACCGCTGTTAGTTTAGACACTGTAGATAACATTAGTAAGATTTACTGTTTAGATGCGCTCAAAGCATAGCATGCAGAGAACATCAAAGCCATGTAAATGCTACAAGAATATCAAAAATGCTACAGACTTATACAGAAGCATGAATAAAATTAGTCTTCAAAAGGCGACAACCCTCAACCAAGAGTGTTGGATTCTCCTCTCATCTTTGAACAATCCCATGCACTCAAAAGTGTGTGGATTTCCTTTGGTGTCTGAGAAACGTAAAGCAGCAGTAGCAGCACATCATCTACATTCAGTTGTGTTACTTTGAACTTGCAACATGTGAGTTTAGTGAACAGACAGGTGTGAATGCAAATGGAGTGTTTGTTATAGTTGCTGAAGTTTACATCATAAAATAAACAATGTATATATTGAGGACATCTTTAAAAGAAATCAGATTGTATGACTTGATAGTATGGACACAGTTAGAGGTTTGAAAAGTAAATGGGATGTGTGTGTAGCATTTAGGTTCTACAGCAGAGATGCACAAACTAGCGTCCGCATGCCAAAGCTGGTCTGTAGTAACCTTTGTTTTGGCCCCACATCCCATTTGTGAAGAGAGGGAGAATGATGGAGATGGTTTAGAGAAATTTTATTTAACCTTTTATTTGTTTGCTGTATTGTGAAGCTACAAAAAGCTAGCTGAAATTAAATGTTTTAATATAAATGGTGTCATATAATCAGATTTAGTTCAAAATAGACATACTGTCCCCCGACGGATAGAATAACTAAAAAAATTGATTTGTTGAACAAATCAATGCAAAGACAAATGCTACTTGACTAGTGTATTCAGCATTGACCTTCACTGCGTTATATATGTAAATGTTTATGTTTTTATTTCAATTAGTTATCATTTAAAAAGTTATACTGGATTGGTTAATAGGATATAAAGTAATGTTGTCTATTTATTTTCTAATTTTATGAAATTACTCATGGCAACTTTAAAGTAAAATAGCTTGCTGTATTTTTCTTTGCCCCACAGCTCTCAATGATGTTTATTTTTTGGCCCTTCATACCAAAAAGTTTGGGCACCCCTGTTCTACAGAGCCTGCACAACAGTTAGCCACACCAACCAGACGAAAACTATAAAAACGCTCCATTGACTTTGTATTGCAGGAAAAATCAAACTACATCTAAATGCTGCTATGCAAAAAGGTGACCTGCAAATAAACGAAAAACCTTTTTCCTTATCCAGGCTTTTGTTGGAGAAATGATCCAATTGAATAGCTCGACGTGAAACACTTTAATACTTACAACTTTCTGACACTTGCAAATAATGTAACTGTGCAGCTTTCTGCTTTATCCACACTGTCCCTGCTTTATCCACAATTTGCAAGTCAAACTGATATATCTTTTTACAAAAAATATCATTTATAAAACTCACATCTGCATATTTGACTTTCCAGTGATAAAATGTTTCTCTCATACAGCCATACTGACTGTCAGGATCCCACACTTGACCCATTCTTCCAGGTGATGCTTCATGTCTATGACCTACATCTACATTTGTCACTCTTAAAAGGCTGGCTTTAAAAGGTTTTAGCTTATAAATTTTTTTTGTTTCGTTTTTTAGCTTGTTTGCTTTCGGGCATCGTTCTGCTTTTTGTAATAAATGCTAGAAATGACAGGGAGGCAGCTTACAGCAAAAGAAAGTCAATGGAGCAGGTTGGATTGTCTCTGTCCAGTGTGGAAGTGGCCTAAACACTGTCTATGATATTCTGGTTCTGGATCTGAGGTATGATTTATGCCTATAGCACTGTTACATTTAGAGATGTTTTTTTTTTTTAGTTATTGTGATTTTTATATTGTGTAAATGACTTTTTCCCTGTTATTCCTTTTTGTTCACAAAAGTTTTGTTTAAAGATAAATATTTTATTCTTGCTCTTTCTTCATATCGTGAAGTATGTGATATTCACTATCTACTGGATGCTGCATGAGTACATTTCCAATCAAATTTAAACAACTGAAATGTTTTAAATAGCAAGCATCTTTGTGGAGATATTCATTCACAAGGCTAAGAAAACCCACCCTTGTTACCCACGAAATGAATGGTAAGAAGAATTAACGTAGAGTATGTTGTATCATTGAGCCATGCTAGCAAACAGTGTCACATGAAACAAAATGAAGCAGGTTGGATTGCCTTAACACTCTCTATGATATTCTGGTTCCACCTTTAGAATTTAACAAACCAATTTGAGGTATGATTCATGCCCATAGCACTGTTACAATATGTTGACGACATATATTTTTTCAGTTATTGTGATTTTTATATCATGTGAAACAGAGGCCAGACACTTAGATGTTGAGAAAGAAGCTAGAAAGGAACCTTTCTCCAGAGCACTAACTGGGTTTCAGATGATACGAGAGCTGTTGTGATTTGTTGAGATTATTGTCTGACCTGTAGATGACTGGTATTTTAGTTCTGTTGTTGCCACGAGTATTACCACTGTTTGGTAACTTTGAACTTTGATTTCTTTCTTTGTCTTTTTTTCCAGGAAACAGTAAGGAGGTGGATGGCCTGCCCTTTTTGTTGGAATTTTTCTCCTGTTTTGAGGTCAGTCAGGGAGTCAGTTTAGTTTTGTTGTTTATTTCCATCATTGTTTTCTTGTAGTTTATTTAGAGGTTTAACCCCCAGACAGAACCCTGTTTTGCTTGTTATTTTGGCTTAATTCCCCTTCTGAAGCAAGTGCTTCCTTGAAACCACAATCTCGTGTGTAACATAAAATTTGTAAATACATCTTTGAACTTTAGAGTACTCTTTTTGTGGCGTTGTGACTGGTCCTGGTTTAGTGTTCTTTACATAAATTAAATAACTGTAATATTTCTGCGTTCAACATAGTCCCCTAGACCTGTGTTGGATGTAACAGCACAAACATCACTGAAACGTAATATTGAGAGGCTTGTGCAAATTCTACGCATGAGTCACTGTAAAATTGATGCTTGGCTTTGAAAGCAAACTTTTCATGCATTATTACAACAACAACAACAACCATCACCCCCTGTGACTCCATATGTCGGCACAACTAAGCGACACCATTCAACATCCAAACTAATCCCAGGCCAGTTTGCACACAGATTGAAATGTGGAACCATTTTAATTAGCAGCCAATGTGCACATTGACCTGTGCTGCAGAGTGGCAAATTTAGGTCAGCGCACTATGATTTCACACAAGTCGATACAGCCAATCACTGAAGCAGCTCATGTAATAGAGGTCAGATCAGTAGACCAGCAGAACTAGTAACATGGGTCGAAGCTTGTCTCAGTCAACTGCACCGCCTCTGTAATTTAGTGAGAAGTGGCAGTTGTGTACATGTATCCTCACCTCAGCAGCATTTTACAGGCTCTGCAGTTGGTGTTCTTCTCAAACGTGTGCATTTGGAAGTTGTGCTGGTTGGCAGTGGCTCGTTCGGGTTTAATGTTTGACCTGTGTGGATTAATAATCACACTTGATATGGTGATCAAAGAGCATAATAACTGTGTGTTTTTGAAACATGGGGAGGATTTAACATACATGGCCATCTCAAACTGCTCCATCCATTTGCGTTTGGTGTCTTCTGTCTTGCAGAAGAACTGGAATCCCTGTTTCCCCTGCAGATGGATCAGGTAAAAGCCGTACGACCACTATGGGTGGAGAGAAGATGGTTGATGAATTGAAATTGTGCTAATGGTCATTCACCTGTTTGCCTGTATAGTTTTTTTTTTTTTTATTTCCAATGTTCATGTTTTCGCCTGTCATGCTACAAACACAGCTTTTGTTCCTAGGAATTCACTTCATGCTTTCTTTCTGTATAGACAAGTTTCCTTATGAAACCGGATGTTCTGAAATATTGATCTTAAATATGTTCTAAAAACAAAATATTTCAGCATTTTAGAATATTGAAACATTTTATTACACATTACATTGTTTACGACGTGTTCTATGATGGCAAATCTGAATTTTCAGCTGCAGCTACTCCAATCTTCAGTGTCACATGATTCTTAAGAAATACTTCTTTTTCCATATTTGCTGATTAAACATTTATTGTTTTAGTTTCTACCCAGAATTATTTTAAATAAAAATCTCTGTGATGAAACGACTGTTTAAAAAATATATATTTGTATTTAATTTTGTCAGCACAACACTAGGCATAGATCTCATTTACCCCTTTTCCACTGACCTGATTCAGGGTGTTTTCACACTTGGTTCAATTGTCTGGACCAAACCCAGATTTGATTGTCCCCCCTTGCCACCTTTTCGGCTGGTTTCTTCTAAACGCCAGTATGCCTGCATCATTAAGCTGCTGTTTTGTGTACAGCTGTTGCTAGGTGAAGGCCACAAAAGTGGCAAAATGGAGACGTCCGCATATCACGTTCATCATGCTTTTACTAAATATTTTGCTTTGTTACCGAAAGAGCCACTAGTATCTATCTGCTGCAAAAAAATATGATAAATGTACAGAACATCATGCGATGTCTGCAGAAGTGATTTTTGGTGAAGACAAGCAGACATTATCACTGTTTGCACTGTGTCAGGCCCGCTTGTCCCAAAGGTAGGTGATATACAGACACACATATCAGAAGGGAACTAGACCAGTTCACACAAACCATACCCCAGACCACCTCTTTCAGGTGGACTCGGGTATAGATCGTGGATGCTCACCCAAGTTTGGAAGTCAGCGTTCACACTAGCTAAACGTACCATACTCTGACATCAACCGAACCTGGGTGCGGACCAAATTGCTAGTGTGAAAGCAGCCTCATATGCGGGTTCCTGTCTTTCATATGTACATTTTGTGCAAACTAAAGAAAAAACAAAAGTGCTAAAATGTCTATAGAAACAGCAGGACCTGCAATGTATCTTTTAGTCTGGTTATAGCCAGGTAAACAACACATAGCAGTGTTACAGTACATCATTTTTCATTCTCCAAGTCATTGGAAATACGTGGCCAGTTTGTAAAAGGGTCTAGTTCACCTGGCAGAGAACAGGCTGACAAAAGATTCTGCTGCCAGAACCAGAACACAAACCATTCTGGTGGAAAAGAGGTAAAAGACAAAACTTCTATAATTCATGAGATCTTTAAGACACTGAAAAATGCAGATCATGATCAATGCTGAAAATGCATCTCAATGGAGTCTGCACAACAAATATCAGATTGTTGATTTGTAAAAACTGCTGATGCTATTCTGGCAGCATAAAGCTGATTGATCCCTTGAGATGACAGGAAACCGATCGCAACGTCAAAGAAGTGAAATGCACAATCACAGCACGTCATTGCTTAAAGAACATGAGCATTCAGCTTACCATTTTTCCACTCGACTGGCAGGCATGCAAAGAGATTGAAGGCGGAGAAAGAAAAAACAGAAAGAGAGAGAGAAAGAGACACCCTGTTACACATGCATTCTCATATACATGCAAAAATTCCTGATTGTTAGATTCATGGAGAATGCATCGACCTCTCTGCATTTACATACACATGCCAGAGCACCGAAGAGGGCAGTACATCATTTCTGATTGGTTGCAATTACAAGCATCATGCTATAACACTCAAGGACAAGCGTATAATGAACGAAATCCATCTGTGCTATTCACCAAGCAAACGATCAGACCGTCCCAATTGCCTTTGCACGTTTAACACATTACGTTAAGATCAGTGCCATAATCAATTTGATAGAACTAATATAATTAGGTATATTTATTCTGAAACAAATCCAATGGCTGGCCAATCGAAGGCCTCTCACCTTTTTCATGTCACGGTTATTCATGGGGTCATCAGACATCTTGTAGAGGTGAAGTTCGATAACCTCTTTTAACTCATAGTTATAACCTTTCCTCTTGCAAACAATCACAACTTTATCAAACAGGAAGATATATCTAGGTAGAGAAAAGGAAGAAATGGATTGAAACACAAATTATTTTGTAGCAAAACAGCCCATTTGATCCTGCTGCAAACAAAAACAAATGGACAGGTGCAGTCTTACCTGTCTTGTTTGGTCCGGTTTACTATAGAGCACACTTTGAGCTCTCCGTCTATCTTTGGCCTACCGTACTCCTCTAGCTTAACCTGCTGTAAATGACACACAAAATTATAATCCATACATTTATATTAGCATAAAGGCCTCAGGAGTTTCATGCACAATGGATGACCTTCTTGCTTGCAATAGCCATATTGTGTTACCTTAAGGACATTTCTCTAATATTTATATACCAATTACAGATTTATGCCTCATGTTTTTGTTACAAAATAGTACACATGCTGCTTTATTAAGAGTCATTAAAGGCACGGCAAAGCCCACAGTGCAGGTCTTTGTCCGTAAGTGGCATGCCTCATTGGCTCATTGATGTTTAGCCGCAGGCGTCATCTGCACCACAGGCCCTCACATAAATAAACCAGAGCTGATACACTGACTCTTATATTAGCTACTGGAAGAGGATACACTGATTTCATTCCTTTTAAACACAGTCCTAAGTGTGCCTGCCTGTGCTTGTGGCCTGGAGGCTTTTTGGGATTTATTTTACTGAACAGAAGTGACAGACGGGGGGCAGGTGGAGGCTTGTAAACAACTAAATGTTTGGGGATAAAGAGGAATTGGCCAGCATGCTGATATGTGCTTGAACTCAGACATTGTAAGTCTTTCAAGTGACAGCAAAGGAGTGCAACTAGATTTGTTAAGGTAATGTGAAGTGATATAAAAATCAACAGGCCATTGAATAAGCATGACAAGTGGAAATAAATACACATGCAATATATAAAGCATTAACATATTAGGCAAAAAGAGTCATTAATACTACAGGTGATGAAGTACACTGTTATGCTGCATTTACTGCATTGATTATGATCTCCACAAACACTCACTAGATTTTCTATAGAGCTCTGAAATTCACTTATTTTCTTCAGGGTTTCATTGTCTCTCTTCACCTCATTGATATACATGGCCAGGTCCTTCAAAAGACATAGACAAAACACTCATTAAAACACCACTTGATTACTGAAATACTAAGATATATTTACACATTAAGCAATATGTTCAGCACAGTTAAATTACAAACCAAAAGCAAACAGTATATGGTAGCTGTATTAGAGTTCACACCTGCATGGCTTCTAGTGCTTCTTTAAGCTGCTGCCTCTCTGGTCGGTCCATAGAGTGACTCACTAACTCCTGCAGACAGACAACATAATGATAAGTTACATATACAAACAAAGCCTGTTTATAGTAAGAAGAGGAAAGATTTTTCAGGTGATTTCTCACTCCAAAAATTTATCTTAAGGAAACATTTTCTTCAAAACTGAAAATAAAATAAAATAAAATAAAAAAAAATAAAATTGATTGGCAATAGTTTTTGATTAACAATAGTACTTAAATATCACAAAATTATTTCTAAAATATTTCAGTTATTAAAGGTCCTAAACACCTATAAAAGAAAGAGTCAAAACCTTAACCTACAAAGACACTGACCTGGTGAACAAATATGGAAAACCACTGGATAAAAATGCTTTATATTTACATTTAATAATTTTGGCAGATATTTATATCCAAAGCAATGTATTACCAATGCTAAAGTGACTTTAAAGCCTTAATTATGTATAGGATGTCCAATCAGTAGTTTCTCTGACATTAATACTTTTAATCATCATTGATGCATTAAATTTTAATATAAATGTTTAATGACTAGTAATGACTATGAAATAAAATTATACATTTTATAATTGAAAATAAAGATCTCATATGAAACCTTACATTGAACATTCTCCTTTGCCATTAAATGAACAAATTTCCTAATTAAATTCTAATAAAATACAAACAATAAAAAAGTTGAATTCATTTTTGATGAAATAAATGCAGTCATGGTGAGCATAAGACAATTCTAAACTATATTGTAGATCTTTTTTTTTTTTTAAATAGTTTTACATAAATATTTTCTACAGTAACATACACTCACTGGCCACTTTATTAGGTACACCTTACTAGTACCGAGTTGGACTCCCTTTTGCCTCCAGAACTGCCTTTATCCTTCATGGCATAGATTCAACAAGGTATGGAAATATTCCACAGAGCTTTTGGTCCATATTGAATCTTCCGTTCCACCATTTCCCAAATGTGCTCAATTGGAATGAGATCTAGTGACTTTGGAGGCCATTTGAGTACATTGGACTCATTGTCAGATTCAAGAATCCAGTCTAAGATGATTCACTTTATGGCAGGTGGCGTTATCGAAGTAGCCATCAAAAGGTGGGTAAACTTTGATCATAAATGGAAGGACATGGTCAGCAACAATATTTAGGAAGGCTGTGGCGTTGGCACGATGCTCAATTGGTGCTATTGGGCCCAAAGTGTGCCAAGAAAATATCCCTCATTCCATTACAATCATAGTTGACAGGAGTGGATATTTTCTCTTTTTTGGACCATTCACTGTAAACCCTAGAGCTTCTTACAGCATCGAAATACAATTTTTTATAGCATCTCTATAAAATACATCATCAAATTGAGAGGTCAATGATGGAGAATTAAGCAGCTATTTTTAGCTGATTGCGATCTGAAACCAAAGCATCTATGCTCAAAAGAGGATATTCTCAAAGAAAGAAGACTTTTAGGAAACAGCACCTGTCATCTGAACCACAGCAACTCTCCCTAGGTTAGAGTGTATGAAATGGGGTGCGGATAATATGATTTAAGCATGGCTGATTTAAACAGTGTCACTGTATCCACCTCCCAAAGCTCTCTTCCCGCTCTGCTGTGTCCTGCCCGTCTGTCACACGTCACACTCTTTCTCTCTGTATCCATTATTAATGCGTGCTGTGAATTAATGATGGTTTGTATCATGCAGGGCGTCCTGTTTTATACATGATCTCTATTAGCAGTGGCTAGGCAGAGTGGAGAGCCACATGGGTCTTGTTGGATGAGGTAAAAATGATCTGAATGTTTTATAGGATTTAGGGGTTCAGAAGAGGTGCTGCTGCTCTGCTTTTAAACTTTAAATCAAAATAAATGGGAGTTGAACAGGTTCCTTATTTTTTCTTAAACCCTCTCAGTGACGGAGGAGCTGATAGGGGTGTCGATGATGATGAGCGCTTTTCACCTTTAGCAGAAGGTGGTATTTAAGGACCCTCTGCATGGGGACCACCAGGAGATCCTGCAGCTTGAACTTCCCCTCTTGAACCTTCATGGTACACTCCTGTGGAGGAATATTATGACAACAGTTCAACAGAAACTCAAAAGCACTACTGAATACCAAAATCAAAATGGCACTTTACAAAGCTGAAAATGACAGTGCTTCAGGAAATGACATTTTAAAGTGTGGGAAAAGTAAACAACATAAAAAGAATAAACAAAATAAATACAAACAACCTAACAACATACACTTATAAATATACTATTTTATCTATACATAATAATTATATATTGAATAGTAGAAAAAATATTTAGATGTGTGTGTGTGTGTGTGTGTGTGTGTGTGTGTGTGTATAAGATATAAGATGCGCAGATCAACAGATGCACAGATATATAATATATGAGATTATATATCAAACAAATTCTCCACCTGCATCTATTCATTTCTCTAATATAGATATTCACTCCTGATCATCACATTAATTATTCTAACTCATTATTTTAAGTGAGAGGTTAGTGAATTGCTTATTTTTATCAGAAGATTCAGTGGCATTGGAGCTAATCTGTGCAGTGCATCTATAATAAATATCCTAGTTGCTTTTTATTTGAATGAACATTTACTTATGAAGCAAAAGTTTGGCTTTGCCCAGATTGGCCTCCATTTTCTTATTAAAACAAACACCGGCTTTACTTCCTTCAGACTTTAATGGGAATGTCACTGTTGCTCTCATTACAACACACAAACTATATCCTATGTTTAGCCCAAGCATTGACTTGTTAATTGCTTCGCCTAAATGCTCCCACACTGTTCTCTTCTTGCCTTTCATTTTTGTTTTAATTGTCCCTTTTTTATTTTCTCTCAGATCTTTCACCTCCATTTCAGCCCAAAAACACAGTTTGAGAATCTGCATAATAGAAAATATATTTGAAAACACTCCTATATTTTAAGAAAAGTAAAAAGAAATACATGTTTTAAGTGCCAGATTATGCAAAATATACCCAACTAAAAGTAATACTTGTAATAGGTGTCAACAATCTCCAGCAAATCACACACACATGTTTTGGTCTTGTCCAAGATTGACAGTGTTTCGGTCTAAAATGTTTGATTCTTTTGAAAAAAATCTTTAACATATCAGCCACTCCAAACCCTGTAGCAGCACTATTCGGAAATCCTTCTAGATCAAATATGCTTTCAACAACACAGAATGTTGTTACTTTCACCACATTATTGGCTGGAAGGCTTATTCTCCTTAGGTGGAAACAAACATATCCAACTTCATATGACAGATGGATAATATATAAATTAGTTTTTCATTAAGAGGGTCTTTAAAATCTTTTTACAAAACATGGAAACCTTTGTTGAATTATATTTACACCATTGATCTTGAAGCAGACGATGAATAAATAATAATGAATATTTTTAATTATTTATTTATTACTGTTATTGTTAGATTTTTTGTTATTTATTTATTCATTCATAAATATATATTATATTATTTATATATTTAAATTTACCGTGTTATTTAATAACTATATTGTTTTTATGTTCATTGGTTCTTAGTTGTGAAAAAGCAGTACAGTGTGTTACTTATTTTTTGTATGAATATAATATTGTATCTGCACAAAATGTAAAATAAATATGTTTGTCAAAAAAGTTTTCAGATTACCTGGCCTGCCCAACCTGCAAATTATTTGGAGCACCTGCAAATGCAGCCGCTATCCACAGATATAAATCATCTATAATTTAATTTCATAATTAACCCCTTCATAGGAAGTTTGATTTATAGGCAATCTTACAGCCTCCACTGATTTTCGCCATTTGTCAGAAAAAAACAAATCAATCATTCATCGAAATTAGACGATTAACATTGGTGAACTTTTGTGATTTGTTATTTTTTTATTTTTTTATTTTTTGGGGAAATTTGCAAGCCAGACTGGCTGGGGAAATCATAATTCTATGGGATAATCTAACCCTAATCATAAATAAGTTACAGGAGGCTTCAATCTTCACAATCTTTACATCAAGACACATTCACATGCTGAATACGTTATTTGAATGCATACTGCAGAAATATTTAACTTCTCAGGTACAGCACAAACTACAGTGGTTATGGAGCCCAATTTAAGACTGATATCTCATAATGTGACTTCAGTTCATATCTGAACAAATATTATGAATATCAATATTATACAACCTTAATATAACTGGTATTATAAAGCCTCATTAAGTTAAATTTCTCCAAATTCTGAGAGAGAAACAGGCCACTTAATCACATAAATTATAAACTATATAACCAGAAATGTTTCTTATTTTGTTAAATAATAATGGCTGGAATCAAATATGTATTTCAGGTTACATGTACAGTATCTGTTTCCTCTGCATGATAAATTTATTGTCTTTACTTTCCGTGTTAATCCTTTTATTTGAAATCTCCCCTGTTCTCAGGTGACAAGTAAACAAGGTGGATGGACCACACAAATGTCACGCTTGACATTCAGAATATACTTCAGTAAGGGGTTTCTCATCTCTATGACTATCAGGGACTCCACGTCCCTCCTGATGAAGGATCTCTGACTAATCCACAACAAGAGCCTCTCGTCTCTTTCCAAGAGGTCTTGTAGCCACGCTCTGAATGAACTGTACCCAATTACGGACGCCTTCTTATGTGTGAGATAACAGGATGATAATAATTACGTGAATTTGTCAACAAGCACGTCCACTACTGCAGATGCTGTGATTTTATCTGTAATCTCCTTTAATCCCAACTGGAAATAAACCGGCTTCTTATGCCACTCTTTATTTTTTAAAGTCATTAAAGTAAGCCACATTTCCTCACACTGACAGGGAGAAAAAAAGCCCTATAGTCTTTTGCATTCTGAGCAGCATTAATAGAAAGCAAAATTAGTTCATGTCCCAAAACTGTCAACAGCAGTCTGCTGAGGGAATGCTGTGTTGCATTGCATCTGACCACTCAAGCGGTCTCTAGGAAAAAAAGCTGTTGAAACAGTCGCTTTGAGGCACTGTCCCTGCCTCAGCACACTCAACGGGCTGAAATAAGCTTATTACCGGGAGCATGACCTGAATAATATTTCCACCAGATTTTATCAATTTTCAAAATATAAAAAACTAATAACCTACAAAATTACATTTTGCTTTTATTTAATCATGCTCATGTTTCAAATGCACATCATTTCAACACTAAATAACTAAATATCCTGCCTGCTAATTTCCATGCAATAGTAAGAAATAGGTATTAAAGCTTTCTATCTTTAACAAAGAGGGGAAACAAAATAATCAATATCAACTGTCTCATCAACTCTTCACGCCACAAGAAATTATGTGAAAGCAACAGACTGAGTTTATGAGAGATCACAAAAGCAATAACAATGTTCACAACAGTGCTTCGAGTAGATTTTTTTTTTAAAGAAATTTGATTTAGTTCACAACACGGGTCTTATTTATTTATTTACTTTAGTTACTTTACTTACTTTACTTATTAACAAATCAGTTTCAATTCAAATTGACTTGATTCAATCCCAGCAGTTGCACAGGTGAATCCGCCAATATTCTGTTATTCTGTGCCTCCATTACGTTCTAACCTTAGCAATTAACATGAACAATGAATGAGTTTTGTGACTGGCATAACCAGTATATGGCATAACCAGTGAATTACATGAGGACTCTGAATATAGATGAGAGATGAACCTACACTGCATAGCCTGGAGACCCAGATAAGCAATTAAATAATTTTTACTGTCTCTTGTTGGTTAAACTGAAACTTTATTAATTTGCAGGACTTTTGATTGAACTAGGCATACATATGTAAAGTATAGGCACACAAACATACGTCACTGTTCGATTGAAACCTTGTTATGTCCAAACCCACTACTTTTTGAGAAATTCATTAATTCATTTTCTTGTCGGCTCAGTCCCTTAATTAATCCGGGGTTGCCACAGCGGAATAAACCGCCAACTTATCCAGCAAGTTTTTACGCAACGGATGCCCTACCAGCCGCAACCCATCTCTGGGAAACATCCACACACACACCCACACACACACCCACACACACCCCCACCCCCACCCACACACACACACACACACACACACACACACACGTTTGTTTTTGTGAAAAGTGGGGACATTACATAGGTTTCCATATATTTTATACTGTCCAAACCGTTTATTATATTGCCCCCACCCCACCCCACCCCTAAACCCAACCATCACAGGAGACTGTGTGCAGCTTTACTCTCTGATTAAACTCATTCTGTAGAATTTATAAGCATTTTGAGAAATGAGGACGTCACCAATGTCCTCATATTTCACCTCCTTTTTGTAATACCTATGTCATACCCATGTCGTTACACAGATTTGTGTCCTGATATGTCACAAAAACAAGTACACACACACACACACACACACACACACACACACACACACACACACACACACACACACACACACACACACACACACACACACACACACACACACACACACACACACACACACACACACACACACACACACACACACACACACACACACACACACACACACACACACACACACACCGGACAATTTAGCCTACCCAATTTACCTGTACCACATGGCTTTGGATTGTGGGGGAAACCGGAGCACTTTTTGAGAAATTATAAAAAATAAAAACATTTCTTAAATAATTAAGCAAAATGCCATCAAAATTTCATAATGTGGTTTTACATACTGAATGGTGATACACTAGCATGTCATATGATTACATTTTACCAAAATCAAGCTTAAATTGAGTTACAAAGTTTGTGACCAGCGAATGTAAGGAATTTTTTTGTCCATCATGAGTGTATTAGATGAAATTTTAATCAAGCTTGCAGGTTAAGTTTACTGTAACTATGTGGGTGCTCAATTTTTCCTGTTTCTAACATCATTTGGCCAAAATCACATTACAAACATTAAGCTATGTAAATGCTATTAAATCAGTATTGGATAAGACTTGACAGATGTTATAAACAAACTCTCTGCTCCTCAAATTAATAAAATATTAGCATTTAGAGAGAGTGTCTATAAAGCAATAAAACACTGCACTTAATAAACTAAATCAACTCTTTTAAATGTTGAAATATGGATGCAAAGTTTCAGGCAGTAAGCACCACTACATATAATAAAACTGTAACTGTATACATGAAAAATGTATATATTACAAAAGCATTACATTGTCCCATTCAACATTAGCTAAAGTAATCACCTACCTCCACTTTACATTTGACATCTTCTCGTGTGGCAATCAGCTCATCCAGTGTCTTCTGAGCGTTCTCCATATGGCTGCAGTATTGGCCGTAAATCAGCAGTCTACAAATTAAATAAAAAGGCGGAGAACATAAGACTGCAATCAAATTTAATACAAATTTAGTAGCAATTCCCAAAACAAGATGAATAAAAGTTTCATTATAAGGAAAACAACAGATGTTTTGCATAAAAATAAAGTCATTTAGATAGGTTTGGCACAAAATGAATGTGAGTAAATGATAACAGAATTTTCAACTTTGGGATAATATTTCTTTTTTTATGAATCTTTAAAAACAAATGATAAACATAACAGTGTTCAATAATGTTTATAACGGAGCTACATCTGTTGTGCTGTCTTCATCAAATGAATATGAGTGAAGCTTTTTGATGGATTCTGGATTGTGTACAAGTTAATTTGGGCCACTGAGCACATCAAGAAACATTTATTAAATTTCACAATGGACTCCTGATAGCGATCAGCACAGGCTGGAAACAGCTCAAAGTCATCTCGCCTAGATGATGGCACCACGTGTGGCACAGATTTCTGCCTCTGATTTAAGTAGGACACTGGCATAGTTGGCAAGCTCAAACCCTCGCATACTTTCAGCTTGCCTGCCTCTTAATTGTGGTCTTAGTTAAGCCAATTTCACTTCACAAGAAAGACTCATTGGTTAGTTATCCTTGATCAGAAGAAAGAAAGTGTCAGTTATCCCGCAGAATTCCCCCCCAAAAGAAAAATCAGATCTGAAAAGAGAAGTTGGCTGATCAAAGCAAGATACATTTTTATCTGAGATTATCCACTAATGAGGGCAAAATCTGAATGGGGTCAAATGAATTCAAGGATGATGATCAACTCAAATCCAGCTCATTAAGTATGGTCTCTGAAGTGTTACAACCTCCTTCATGGTCTGCAATCTAGGACAGGCTCCATGCATTGACACTTGAGCCACCCACTAAGATTTGCTACTGTAAAGAGCGTAAAGCTAAGTAAAAGTGTCTTAAGCTGAAAAGGGGCTCCCTTACTGCTCTGCTCAATGTCTGGGCCTCCGTGCCCTTGGGCTAAGCAGGCCTGATTAAAGGCTAATCTGGAACAAGAGAGACGGGCTTGGTTCCTTATGGAAATGGACTGATGGAGATTAATGGCGGCCTCGCTCAATTATGAGCCGAAACGCACATTCAACAGCATATTGAAAATGCGGGAGCAGGTGTCGGGAATTAACTGTAATAACAGATGTCACAGACATAATTGAACATGAAGGTCTTCTTTACAAGGCAATTTCCAGATTAAATGTTTCAGGTGCCTCGTAAAATGGACGGAGAGGGAGAGACGGCGCTCTATGTAAGACACGTGAAATAGCAGGAACAATGGAAGAAGAATCTTCAAATTAGTCAAGAACAGACAGAAATACAGCAGCTGTTAAAGTTTTAAATTGCATATATGAACATATACAAAACGTAAAAGTTATTAGGTCAAAGTAAAATTTGCTATATTTTGTTAATATGCAAAATTGTATTGCAATAACAACAATAATTTCTAAGTTCCCACAAAGCATGATTGTTTTCAACATTTTCGACATATTAATAAGAAAGGTGTCTTATTCTTGAAAGGTGTCTTTTATTCTTGTCTTGGTCTTGATCATAAAAATCAACATAAGAATCATTTCTAAAGAATAACATCTGATGTTAGCGACTGAAGGAAAATCTATCCACTTGTTAAGTCGTGACATAACGGTGACGTGTGAAATACTGTTTCCGGGTCCAAGCCGCTACTTATTTGAATTGAGAAAATATTCATTTATGGCCACTTTTAATTTCACTTGACTTTTTAGGGTCTACAATTAAGGATTTACCAAATTTATCTCTGACCATACCAAAAATAAATAAATAATAATTTCTTAGACGCAAATTTTACATAATGTGTCAAAACAAGCGAAATGTAGTGTGTGTGTGTATATATATGATAAAATATATATAATAAAAAAAAAATTATTTTTTAGATCATCACTTTTTGTCCAGTCTATTTCGAAGAGAACCGATCACACCAGTTGCATTTCCTCTAGGCAAGGATGCTTCGTGCAAGTAAACGGGAGCGTGCATGGTTTTCAAGGCTGATTTAAACAGTTGCGCGCATCAATTCACCTGCATGCGCGAGTGATCATCCTCTCATTCGCTATTCACCTGTTTTATTGTGCTTGGGCAAACACAATTATTTTGTCAGCCGTGCTGCTTCTTGATTCTAAGATTACATTTGCACACATATTGGGCCATCCTTATTGTCGAGCCCAGCTTTTAAGAAAACTACAATTAAAAATTATTTCCAACCAGTCAAAGTGGCTGATGGAAGTGTCTGTCTAGCTTGCTCGATAATTTCAAGCCCTGGGCATGGCATGGATATATATTTATTCGATCATGATTTTCGAAAGTAATACATCGCTTTGTAAATGTGTATTATTACCATTTGATGAGCCTCCCCATACAGTTTAATATGGCACTTGGACTGGAAGCTGCTTAGCGAGATGTCGCACTTAACAAACAGGTTACCTTTGCCATCTCAGAAATTATTTAAATGTTGAATGTACATTTTATTATTAAAATATATACAGTTTTTGCAATAACAATTCTTTTTCTATGGAAAATATATATATAAATGAAAATTTTACTGGCCACAAGCATTTGAATGGCAGTATACACATATCTAAATTAATAGTATGATATTTTAACCTCATGTGTTTAATAAATGTAATGTGGCTTTCAATGTTAATCGCTTTAATTGAGCATTGCTTGAGGTAAATATTTCTCCTAATAATGAATTGAACATGAGTAAAATCTATACAACCATGTCAGCTAGGTTATTTTTCAAAGTGGACAGCCGTGCTTTGTTCACTAGCAAGTCCATTCATGATGCTCTAATGGATGTTCTTTCACCCAAACACTCAAACCATGCTTTGTACATCTTTGCGGAGCATCTATTGTTACTAAATTAGCCTACATTAAATTACAAAGAAAAATTTGTACAAGCACAAGCAATAATGTGAAGAGTGGCGTACAAATTCAGTGAACAGATTTGATTAGGAAGGATGCAAATGCTCCTTCATTTAGGCTTGTACTCAGGCATAAATTAGTGTGCAGTAGAGATCACTCTTTAATGACCCATTAATTACATGTGTTTAAATGCGATCAGAGTAGAACACGCTAACAACCAGAACCACTGCACATCAGCAGTGCAGCCTGAAGGAATGCACTCTTTATGAAGCCAATTCTGATGACTTATCCAGCTTGCAGTGATAAACAGTCAGTTTCAGCCTACCTGAAGGCAAATTGAACAGCAAAGGTGTTGAAATAAAAATAAATGTTGGAATTTGTCTCACTGGTTGCGATGCCAGCCAAGCATAGACATGCAACGTTCTGACAACAGCAATGGCAAACCAGTCAATGCTATTCAGGCTCTTCTCCAGAAGTTCATCCTTGTTTCCTCCTCCTTTGGCACTTCAGATTGTGAGGGTGGGATGTGATTGAGAGGAAAAGAGAGAGAGAAAAAACACCCTTGGTTGCTTAAGTGTGAATATTCCCCGGGGTGAAAACCTTTGCCATCGCTGTGTAAACACATGCTCTTTGAATTCATCTCTCTTCTGCTGCAATCGCCCGCTGTCCCCGAATTTCTCATTATGGCAAAGCTGTCATGCATGTTATTTCACAGAAAATACAATTTGGGAAAGACGCTCTCCTTCCAGTTCCATCTGTCCAAAGGAAAAGACCGAGGCCGATGAGGATAACGGAGAGCAAAGTGGAAGTGACAGGCCGGTGAGAGAAGTAATAGTCTCTGACATGAGGCATTGAAGACCCCTCACCTTCACTCCAACACTGCACAACACAGTGAATAGCGGCTTAATCTCAATGCAAACCAACTAATAATGTTCCTTAGTAACTCTTAGCTTATTTTAGCACTATCTCTTAAAATAGTTATGAAATAACTCTCCATAAAAAAAAAAAAAAAAACATTTGAGAGTTTAAAGACATTAAAAAATCTGTGATTTCAGAAAGCAACTTGATACAGTTTAAAATGAGATGGTGTTTTTGCTCTTCAATATGCCCTTCATAGTGTCAACAGCTTCTGAAAAGCTTCTCAATTATTTCATTCTGTGGAACGCAGTGCCGCAAAAGGTCACAGGGACTTACAAGAGAGATAACAAAATTAATTAAAGGCAGCTGGGCTTTTTGAGCAATGGACGGAGGTGTGGATGATAGCAGCCACACAACAGCCAAATCCCCTGGCCATTTCTCTCTTTGTTGAAAGGAAAGGGAGAAGGTCTGTGCATTCCATAATGAAAAAGAGAAACATGCCAATCAGATGAAAATTGACGCAGCCCTGCTTTAATGAAATGAATAATTTGCCAAAAATACTCAGCGTTGTTTAATGCCACCAAATGTCTAAGGAGACCCAGAAGGGACGTGATGGTGAGGAAAAAAATGTATGGAAAAAAAAAAAAAAAAAAAAACAAGTGATAGGAAAATATATTTTTTAAGCTTTTGCATCTTTACAAATATGTTTTAATCATCCTATACATAGGTATTCTTCCCATAGTTCTCATATATTTTTAATGTCTGTATTTTGCACTGTCATTTTATTTGCACTGTCTGTATTTTGCACTATCATTTTATTTGTATTGTCTGTATTTTGTGCTGTCTGGGGCAAGCACCTAAGCTTTTCACTCATCATAGCACACGTGCTGCTGATGATGTGACAATAAAAGTGATTTGATTTGATTTGATTATCTTGAAAGTAAATTGAAATTAATATAAAAATGTCTGCATTCACTTTATTTTTCATAACCCTCTTAAAGTCAAATGCCATTTTGGGGTTTCCGCTTGGATTTTGCCAACCTGAATTCAAACGCTTACCAAATCCACATGCAGAGGTGTAATTGCAAATGTTTGGTATCATTTTAAAGAAAACTCTTTAAAGTTTGATAAAACACTGTTGAATGTTATTTAAATAATTGTATATGTTGTTGTGTTATCAATCCCTCAAAAAAAAAGGCGCTTTTTTGTAAACTCAAATTTGA